AATTCCATCATTGTTTCTTAAATGGCAGGTTTTAAGGTTTCAATTACTATGAATAAAATATTTTTCTTCCATCACTCTTTGTTTAATTGTATTGTTACAAAGTTCCTGTTTTTTGGGGTCACCCTGTATAAATATGAAAAGGCTGAAATTTTAATTTCTCGAAATTTCATAAAATTATGTTAGTGTGGGCAATAGATACAAAAATAATATGTTTACCAAGATTTTCCAAAAGAATAACAAATTAGAAATAATTTCATTTGTTTGTGAATAAGTTCTGAAAATTCCATTAAAATCAGACAATTATTTGATATATGCAAGATTTACCAATGTAATTCAATGACGCTAAAATTTCCAATATTAATATTCGGCCCACCCATTGACGCAAGAAAAAACATGTTTTTTTAAACAAATTTCGAACGTCCTAGAAAGTAGAGAAACATTTGAAAAACAATTCGATCTTTTCTCTTGATAATAGCATAAAAATTTTCACGATAATATTTTGTGTTTATCAATCTTGTTGGTCTTTTTTTTAAATCATGGTATGCTTTTTTTTAGAATATTTTTAAGGTACCTAAGTAAAATGCTAAAAAAAACAAGGATAAATAAAACAATGGAGTTGGCATTCTGTAATAAGAGAACACACGTGTAGTCATTAAAATAACTCCGAGTGTAAATATAGAAAAAGCGCGAATGAAAAAAAAGATGATAGCATAGAAGTAGAGGAAGAAAGTGTGGTTAGCATCATCAGACTGAGAATGCTGGTTCATCTCTTTAAGCTACATCGCTACTGATATAGTGATCTGGTGACCAGGATATGAACCCGTATCGATAAACTTAATATCACTCTCTATCCAGAAAGCTGTTTATTAGTATACTAATGCTACAATCACGAGGCAAGGTCGTAGATTCTTGTAGTGTTTTCTTCCTCTCCGTGTTTTAGGCTTTCATCTTTTGTTGATTGCCTTTTCATTTTGCACAGAGTTTAATATCAAGGTTTCGGCCGTTGTAAGCTCCAGCCTTCTTCAGGTGAGTGGAATTTCGAAGCAAACCCTTTATTTCGTCCACCCGGTTAGACTGTTCTAATTTCACGTGCCATGTCTCTTCCGGACGTCTCCGTTATTTCCCTTTAACTCAATTCTCTAAGTTTAGTTCAGAACTGCTGTGGCCTGGTACTGAACACACAACTCTTTGGGTCTAGTCACTGGATCTAACCAACGTCTTCGTCCATTGGGCTGGTGGACGAAATAAAGGGTTCGGATCGAAATTCCAATCACCTGAAGAAGGGCGGAGCGAACAACGGCCGAAACGTTGTGAATATAGCAATGAAGATGACCATAACATTCCGAATAATGAAAATAATGTATGGAGTATTGCTGCCATATATGGTCTGTAGCCCCTTCTGTCTGCTTCAAGGTCCTTGATAAAATCCAAAGACGGATATGCAATGTAATTAGCCCTGATCTGGCATCTCATCTGCAGCCGCTATCTCACATATGTGCTGTTGCCCCCCCCCCCTGTGTTTTTTTATACAAATAGTTTCACAGTAACTGCTCCGATGAGCTGCTTTCGCTGATTCCCAGACTTCATGAATTTTAGCGTTCAACTAGGCTGGCAATTCGCTCTCAAACTTTCACTGTCGAAACTGTTAAATGTAGCCGCCTCTTCTACTCCAATAGCTTCATGTCTCGCACTTCTCCCTTGTGGAACTCCCTCCCCATTTCTTGTTTCCCTGATACCTATAATCTCCAATTATTCAAATGTAATGTCAATCGACGTCTCCAGATGCCTTGATATATACCTTAACATTCTATTCATTCTTTCCTCTATCACTCCTATTTGCTATCGCTCCAACTTTCTGTAACCCCTTGCGTGCTAGTGGCTTCCCGCCTTGCTTGGGGTTGAATGCTTAAAAAAAAAGTAATCATAATACCTCATCTCCAGCTTACAAAATCATAAGATCATTGTTGTTTTCAGAGAACCGAGGTAATTCGCGATGGAATTAGCAAATCATTTCACGTGTCTATTATTTTATTTTATTTATTTGTTCCGGGTTTCTGGCGAAGTGTTTTGCAAGTAATAAAATATTCTGATTATCTTAATCGAACGTAGATATGGGGAATTCTCGACTCGAACCACTTCACTAAAATCTGAACAAACGAAGAGACATTAGAATTATTTTAGTAATATTTCTTTGTCAGGCGAAGTTGTTTTCAACACTGCATTATTGGGTATAATATAACTGTATAAAACCTATCTACATATAAAAAAGAAAGCTATAGTATATATCTAGATACTTTAGAGGCAGTATACATTAAATTACACCGACTGTCTTTGTATCAACAGAAAGAAACATTTATTCATTCTCTTTCTTTACTGGGAGGTCTATGAGTATATTTTCCATTTTGAACTCACCGGAAAGATTTATTCTGGTTCTTTGCCATTTTCCCCCCTATTTTATATTCTTCTCCGTTTTAATATTAAATTGTGTTTTAATCGTAATTAATTTTTATCTTTCCAGATTGTTTATCAATTCGGGATTCTCATTTTCCGAGACACCAACGAATCTTCTGATGAGTTGTTTGTCAAAAAAGGTAACATCTTAGGAAAAATATGTGTTTTTTTCTGTTTAAATATATATATATATATATATATATATATATATATATATATATATATTAAGAAATATACATAATACCTTAAATTGATTGCACAACTCGGTGTTTCATGCCAAAGCAATTATGAAGCTCTGTTATTTTTAGTTATGGGTTAACACCGGTTTCATGAAATTTCTGGTAATCGATATATACAGTGTAACCCGGATATAAGAGACCCGGATATAAGAGAAAGCCGGATATAAGATTTTTTTTCTGTTCCCAAAGTGTTCCCATACTTAACTAAACAAAATAGACCAAACCCGGATATAAGAGACTTCTTCTCCGGTCCCGACAACTCTCTTATATCCGGGTTACACTGTACTATATTTTTGCGGTGCAATATTATTTTTATTAAATATATTTAAATGAATTGTAGTTTAATTTGAATTTGAATTTAGACACAGCTTAACATTTAAGATTGAAAATAATGTTGGAAATAAAATTATAAATACTAATTAAGAAAGTCGTTGATGTTATAAAAGCAATAAACCAGAAGGGACATAAGAAAATCAAGGGGGATAACTCTGTTTATTTTTCAGGAAAATCAATAAAATAATTAATAATAATATTAATATTACAAAACTAACTAAAAGAAGTGCTATATCAGCACTTGATAATTGCTTCGGCATGAAACTCCGAGTTAAGCAAGCAATGTAACATATTACGTATATTTCTTTATATACATTAAATAGCTCTGTTATTTAACATTGATCACTGTTTTTTCTGACACTACAGAGTATTTATATGTATTTGAAAACGATCGCTAGCTCCTACATCTACCTATATATATATATATATATATGTGTGTGTGTGTGTGTGTGTGTGTGTGTGTGAGTCAGCGAGAATGTATGTGTATGTGTGCGTGTGTGTAAAGAAAAAATAGAAGAAAAAAATAATCTTCAAACACAGCTCTACAAATTTAAATACGTTTTATAATTGTGTAATTTTTTTCTTTCAAGTTGAAAGAAATGAATACCAAAATCTGTCGCAAGCAAAGTCGGACAAAATTTAATTTAAAAATCGAGCAACTATTTGCTAGGGAGTTACTCAATCGCACAACTCTACACACACACACACACACAAGCCCTGATAAATATTTACAGAAAAACTGAATTTCCGAATTTACGTGACGAATATTTATAAGCAAACAGATAGATCAAGGAAGGTAAATTTAGATCTCTTAAATTCAGAAGATTATTGGTTAATAAATATTTTCCCATTTTTTTATACCTATTTTTAGTGGGAAAAATACTGTTAATCCTTTTCTGGAGTGATATCTCAAATTTCGTAGCAGACAACGAATATGAGTGTCTGATTTTTCAAAGCTGTAAGAACGTTTGAGATAACGTCGCTGATGGATTAATAAATGCCAATGTATAAATTTGAATTTTTGTACCAAAATCAGTCGATTTTAACATGAGCTAATGTCGGTACAAAATTGGGATTTTTAGTGATATTTCTTAAATCTATTAAATTTTCCTACAATTTTTAACGAGGTTCTACAAGCATACACGAACACACGCGAGTTCCACACACATTTTATATATATATATATATATATATATATATATATATATATATATATATATATATATATATATATATAGTAGTCGACTCTCCTGTCGATTTCGATTGCATGAATGTTCAAGCAGATCAGTTTCAGGAAACCGACAGCCCGACACCGATACATGAGATTTGATTATAGTGGTGAAGGTTTCGTACAGGACCATCCATTTTTGGATTTTGAAGGGACGAATACAGAGACCTGGTGCACTGAATGCCACAAGGTTCCCAAACTGTTTGAGGATGGCAGGTTTTTGAATTCAGAAGTTGTCCTTCTCCTAGATAAATTGCCATATGAAGGCTATAGAACCCAGTCTGTTCCTGGTATTTTACCACATAACTGGAGGGAAGAAAAAGGATTCATACCTTTATAAGTTTATTAGCACATAAGTGAATGTAATCTGTTTCACTGGAATTGAAAAGTTTCTTCGATTCCTCAAACCAATTTACTGTCTACATCCAAAAAATTATAATGTTGTGTATGTGTGTGTATGTGTGTGTGTGTTGAGGTAATAGAAAAACAGATTAAGGCCAAACGTCTTTAGTATTTATTTTATGTTAAAAAAGTCTCTATACTGAGTTTTTTTAAATTATAATTGTTTTTAAAATATATTCCATCGCGAAATTCATCTACTTTTTTGAATTGACTCAAGTCATAAATTTTAATTTTAATAATATTTTTAATATTAAAATTAAAGTTTATGACTAAAAGTTAAGTTTCGAAACAGTAATTTATGCGTCGCGATGGAATCATATTTAAAAAAAAATAATTATAATACATACATACATATATATATAGATAGATAGATAGATAGATAGATAGATAGATAAAAAGTGTAAATATACATTTCTTCCTTAAAGTTGACATATATGTATATTTTTTACCAAAATAAATTTTAGCTATGTTATTTTGCATCAAGTACTATTTAGTTATTATGTACAGCACTGGCTGTTCGCTTAAGTATTAGACAGGGAGCGGCAAAAGTAACGCCCATTTTTACATACCGTATATACTCGCGTATCATGCGATTTCTGAAGACTTAATGTTGAAGCTAATTTTAAGGGGTTCACATCATAGACGAGGTGTAAAATTAGCGTATGTACTGTTAGCCCTGACTACTCCGTTGACCAATCTATTTATCCATTCACTGGAGTCAAATTAACTTCAAAATTAGGTCTTCAATATTCGCCTTATATGCGAGTATATACGTAATTAACTTTAAAAATTTTAAAGCATTTCACCCCGGGAAATGCGGGAGTGCCACTAGCACGCTAGTGGGTACACAGAGTGAAAGTAAAAGGGGTGTTTGAGGAAAAAAGGACGAGGATCAAGATCATGCTATCAGAAGATGTCGATTGACATTACATTTTAAATATTGTCAGGGAAGCAAATAAGAAGATAGCAGTTCCACTCTTCAGAAGTGCGAGAGAAGAAGTTGTTGGAGTAGAAGAGGCGGTTATATTTAACTGTTTTGACAGTGGGACCGAGATGCCAATCAAGCTTAAGTTCATGCAGTCGGGGCACCACTGAAAAAATGCTCGTCAGTTACCATGAATATTGTAGAAAAGACAGAGGGAAGCCACATCATATCTGTGATAAAATGACTATAGACGAGATGCAAGGTCAGGGCCTATTGAACACAAATAAATTACTGTAGTTTAAGAAAAAAAATATAAGTACTATGACATCGAAACAGCATGATTAGTTACGGTTCCAAAAACTATTAAATGTGTTCAAAATATTCCTTTCATGTTCCATTCAACGCTGAATCCTGTCAGCAAGCAAAAGGTCTGCGATCGTGGTGGCCACTTAATTGCTCCATGTCATTCTATCCACCTCAGCTTGAAATTAAGATTTAAACATTCCCGTGTCGCGTAAGTGATAGTGAGGCGATGGAACATCCTGTTGAAAGTAAAAAAAAAACAAAAAAAAAACAAACTATTAAACGTGTTCAAAATATTCCTTTCATGTTCCATTCAACGCTGAACCCTCTCAGCAACACTTCTACAGACCATTTCACATATTTCTACATTAATTTCAAAAAATGTATCAGTAATTGCTTGTTTTAATTCAGGAATTGTTTTCAGTTTGAGCCCGTAAACAAGATCTTTCGGTACACCCACCAAGTGTGTTTTTTTTTAGAATGCGATCATGGTGCTTTGTGTGACGGTTACACACCTGGCCCAGTGTCGGATCCTTTGGTTACGGCGCCAACGGTGACGTCGCTCCTCCTGGTCGCTCCTCCTGGGTCCAAGCGTGCCGCTCCAACCCTTTGGTCAGATGATCACCAGCCTCGCCTTTCCCGACTCGCTTCCAATACCTGGTCACTAAAGCAACTATACCGATCTCCGGTCTGTCTACCCACGCTGTGTTTAGATCTTAGACAGACGGGACCAGCAGGATCGGGGCCGATACAAGTTGAGTCCGACGGGGTGGCAAAACACAAATAAAAAAAAAAACTCACGACACCAAACAAAATTGCTGATAAAAAAAAGGGTAACAACCTTTTATATCTTAAAGTCCGTTACATAAAAACAAAATTGTTCTCAATTCCCGACCCGTTCTGTGGACTATGGCACCAAGCTTCTATCACACAATAGGAAAATGTCGAATTACCTACTCTCTAGAATCATGTATGTATGTCGGAGTGTGGTTCAGTTCGACACTGGGGCTAATTTCTATCGATCATTCGCAGTTGATTCTTCTCTCCGACTTGAGTTGTATTTCTTCTTCTTCTTCTGTTTAGACTGGTAGATTTCTTGTTTCAACCCAGTGGAAGATTTCTTGCTTCGATTCAGTGGAAGATTTCTTGCTTCGATTCAGTGGAAGATTTCTTGCTTCAATTCGGTGGAAGATTTCTTGTCTTCAACTTGGGCTGGAAGGATTTCTTGTTTCGAGGATTCTTCTGTCGTCCGAGGGTGAACTGCAACTCACGCCCAACCTAACTCCAACTTCAACTCAACTTCAGCTCCAACTTCAGCTCCAACTTCAGCTCCAACTCTTCTCAGGTTTTCAGGCAATCTTCTTCTTCATCTACTTGGGCTGGAAGTTCTTCTGTCTTCGACTTGGGCTGGAAGTCCTTCTGTCTGAGGGTTCTTTTTGCCCGCAAAGGGGCGAGTGAATCGGGTCTTATGTCCGCGTTCAGGATCTTCCCTGCCCGCGGTCCTGCTGCAACTCAGCCCAACTCCGGCTGCATCTCCAACTCAAACTGATTTCTGTCGACTGGGGTCCTGCTTATATTGACGCCGCAACAAACTGGGGTGGGTCTGTCGGCGTCAGGGTTTTCTCGATAATTCCAAAAGTCGTATTAATTTTGACTTTCCATTATCGTTATTGTTTTCACCCCTACTTTCTCACAGAGCTCTTGGTGGGGCGGCGCATATCTATTTCTCTTAGTCTCTCTCTCATGTCAGGTGATCGCTCTCAACCAATCGTTCCCGATCGAACCTTTCTTTCTCTTCTTTTCCGCAGCCCACGTGACCGCCTCGTCCAACAGTTATTGATCGAGGTTTTCTTTCCTTCTTCTTCCGCGGTCACGTGATTGTATTCGACCAATTGTTATTGACCGAACATCCTCTCCCCTCTGTTTGCGGGCGTGGTTACATCGTTCTTGTTTAAAAAAAACAAAATCCAATTTTGCCCCTTTTTGCACGTACGCAAAATGACAATCTTTAGCTTTCTTTCACCTGGACTTTGTCAAACAGCCCGCTGCTAATTAGTCTTGACTTTAGAAAAGGTTCTTTTCCGCCTTCTTGGCGCCCTCTGTGAGCCAAAAGCAATTGTCTCTCTTTTTTACTTCTTTGTTTTACCTGATAGTCGAAAATCTTAATTATCTAGGTCGAAATATCTCTACTTTCTTAACGTGGGTGTCCAATTCTTAACAGGTCAATTCCGTATATCGTTTCACTGGTCACTCCCCTCAACCCAAAGACACTTTCTCTCAGATCTAAAATTTCGTTTCTATTGTTCAAAAAAAAAAAATAAAATTTCTCTTCACTCCAAATTGATAAGGGGTTTTCCACGCAAGAGTCGGTCAGAGGCCTCTGACCGACATCTGGTCGATATCATGTCTTTTCCTTTCTTTTCTTTTTATTATTTCCAATTCTATTCTTCCCTTTGTTTTAAAAAAAAAATAAAAGTCGACCACACGCAGACCTATCTCTACCATCAACTGGGTCATGCGTCATACATTTTCTTTTTTTTTTTTCTTTCCTTCCTTCCTTTTTTTTTCTTTTTTTCTTCTTTTAGGATCGTCTAGTACATTCTTAGTGAATTATTTTCAACTCAGTTATTTTTTTTTTTTTAAAAAAAAATTAACAACCTGTTTAATAAACTGAATAAGAAAAAAATTAACTCATATTTCTATGAATATTTCCAATAAATGCAAGGTGCCATAGTGGACACTTAATTGCTCCATGTCATTCTATCCACCTCAGCTTGGAATTAAGATTTAACCATTCCCGTATCGCGTAAGTGATAGGGAAGCGATGGAACGTCCTGTTGAACGTAAATATCATTCTGATTTATAAATCTCGGCTAGGATTCAGTTTGCAGCCTATGTAAATAATTATTTTGATTAACAGTACCATCGAAAAATATCGGCCCCTTGGATGAAATGGTTGCGCAAATCGTCACTTCTGGTAAGTTAACATTTTTTTCCAAGATAACATGTCGGCTACCATTGTTCCAGTACACACAATTATGGCGATTGCTACGCCTGTTCGAATTAAAGGCTTCTTCGTCTGGCCACCACATCTTATCATAGAAAAGTCTAATCTTCATTGGCATTATTCAGAAAAAAATTCGCAAATCTCTAGTCGCCTGTCTGCATTTCTCTCATGCAAGTTTTGTAACAACCTCATCTTAAGCTTCTTTAAGAGTCTACGACCAATTCTATCGCTGATAACCAAATATGAAGACAGGCGTCTACTGGATTCTTGAGAACTATTCAACAATGATTCTCTTATTTCAATGGGGTTTTCTAAACTCATTGCTGAAACCAGCCTTCCCCAAATTACTTACACGTTTTTTTTCTTATATTTTTTCTTTTTTTTTGTTTAATTAAGCTTGTTATATTTCGACTCTACATTTGCCGAATGCTAAATTCTGCTGATAACACACGTAGTGCTTCATCTCCATTTTTATTATTTTCTTAATAAAGGTGAACAGCTTTCATTCATTTATCCTCCGTTAAGCCATATTTATTTAGGATTCCCGAAATCATCTATATATAAAATTCTGTGACTTCCGTGAGTCCGTCCGTCACACACTCTAAAATAGCTAAACATTGACCGATCAAAGCCAATTTGTTTTTGGTCGGGGGTGCAAACAGATAAGGGGTTACAAATTATAACAGAAAATGAAACTGAAAAATCTATTTTCCTGAAAAAATTGTTTTAAGACAAGGATTTTATAAACCTTAACGGACAGTATTACTGGAACATCACTAAATGAATAATGAATGTTTCCTCATAAGGAAATGCCTAAAATTAACAAATTCATTATGTTGTAGTAAATGTCATCGTTTCGGAGGCATGGATGAGTTGTGTATTCGACTGGAATTCGAACTCGGCTCTCCGAGTTCGAATTCTAGTCGAATCCATTGCATTCACTTACATGGTAATACACTTGGGGATGGTATGAATCCTCTTCTTCTGCCCCCAACTATGGGTAAATAGTAAAACAGACCGGTTTCTATAGCCAGAATGGCAACTGATCTAACACAGAACTAAATGGTAACCTATTGCGGGAAAAAAATCTGTCTCGTCAGTCATGTATCGAAAGGTACTTGATAGCCTAAGCGTGTATCACGCATGGCACATAACTGAATGGAGGCATGGTGAAGTA